CAGAGTGAACAAAACATTTTGCTGAAAGCGTTACTTTGACACTCGTCAGAAACTTTTTGACTTTTTCTCGGCATCATCAACAATATTAACATACTTGATTATTAATGCTAATACTGATGCTAATATTGGTGAAACATCTGGTGTATTAGTGAAAATGTTAAAAAGAGATTTATCTATCCCAGCTCAGATTAGTATTCACTAGTAGCACCCATATACAACTTATATCTGAAGACGATTTATAAGAAAACATTTAAATTCTCAATATTTTTAAGACATATTGAATATTTAGTAGATTTAAATTCTGGTGCGTACAGTTGAATTTGATGCTAGCACAGAGTTTGACAACAATTTCAAACTCTTTGTGTAAGTTTATCTGCTAAAAAGTTTTCTTTTTAAGCAACACTTGATTTATGCTGGAGGTTTCTTCCTGTTAAAAGGGAGTTTTTTCTCTCCACTGTCGCTAAAAGCATGCTTGGTGTGAAGAGTCAATCAGTCGATGCAATCACCTGGTTTTCCTTAGATGGAAAACTTTGTATAAGTTTGACTATGATCTGGTTGAATTGTCTCTGTAAAGTGCCTCGAGATGACATGTGTGGTGAGTTGGTGCTATATAAATAAACCAAATTGAACTGAATTTACCCCTCATCCAGAGCAACGATGGAAAAGAACAACTAAATTGTTATTGTTTGCTTTGCTGCAGGAAGAGTTTAACAAGTTTTAAAACTTTTTTAAATTCTTTTTTTTTCTACATTGAATGTTTGGAAGAAAAAAATGACACATTTAACAAAAATACTTTTCCAGCCCCAGGGGTCTCGGTTAAGAAGTTAATCTCTGTCTAGGTTTTCTTATCAAAGCAGAAAAATGTTCTTTCATATTTAGTAAATTTACTTTTTAGACCCTAAAAACCTGAACCATGCAGTTACTGTAAAAATTACATAGGTTTCATATTATGGGTTTTAGGAATTAACTGTATTTGATCTAGTTTTTCTGTTTAATTTAATAAGTAAAAAAAAAAAAAAAACAATTGTTCAATTTCTGGTATCCCCAACAACACCGTTTTTAATATTTTTTGGCATTTCTAGCAGATTAGTTAGTTTAAAATACACAAAATCAATTAAACCTAAAATAGCTGCAATAAAAAAGGGCATTCTCTTAAGAAGCTTTAAATTATGTGACACCCTAAACTGTGTGCAGTAGCAGCGTCATGGTCCTGTTTTTAATCTTGGATTATTGTTTGCCTGTTGGCAGCAGTTCAGGAAGTTCACTGAGCGCCTCTTCTTTGCCATTCCTGTAAATGAACGCCTTCTGACAGCGTTGGAAGTCGTAGTTTAACATGGCATTATTTGGGTGGTAATCATACAGATTTACATTTCTCATTAACTTGCGCTCACTTTTGCTCAATTGGATTGCATCAGGTTTACGAGGATCATTTACCATCATTTACTGAAATTAAGGTTTTTTGAATTTGATGTTGCAAACTCCCAGGAGCCAATGGTAGAAGAGTCTTAGAAAGTTATGACAAGAATACAAAAATGTTGTTGCATGTGGTCCGTTGTGTTTAAAATCTATTGTATGTGTGATGACAGTAAACACTTCCTCTAAAATTACCCGTTGGTGTCAAAGGTTAGTAATATCTTGATGCATTGTTATAATGTCCTATCTGGTCTACCATGCCTTTTTATTGTGACGCCCACCTGATGCGCGACCTTGACTGACACGCTTGATATGCCGTGCAGCTTCAGTAAGAAATAACATAGTGTGAGCTGCTGCCAAGATGAAGGTTGGTTGACGCCAGGAGTTTTCGAGCTGAGTTATCATGATGTCAGTCTGGGAATGAGTCACAGTGGATTCAGTGCAACACAACAATTCCCATCTGTTGCCTTCTGCAATAGCTCACTATATAGCTTTTAATATACTGAGTTTCACGTTTCTGGGGTACAGCACAGTGAGAAAATGTTTTACTAGATAAACATGAGACTTTGTGCTGTTATTATCCAAACATTAGAACTGAAACATCTTTTTGTCTTCACTTATCTTTTTTTTGTTTCCATGACAACAAGGGATCTAAATTAAAGAGCCTAATGAGACAATCTTTATTTTTTCTTTTGTAGTGCTTGACAGTTTATCCATCAGACACATATAAACATGGACAAAGACCCTGAATAATCATAATCCGGTTAGTTATTTTAACTGACTGGGCACATATGGTAAGAAAGTACACTGGTTATAAAATTATTTTTATCTAACCTTAAATGTATAAACACAAGCAACAAGGATCTTTCTTTAACAAATTAATCACTCTGTAAGGTCAGCACAAAGACAGACTAGAAAAGATTTGTGTTTAAATGTGTCTAAATTGTATATATAAATCCTTAAAATCAGTGCATTTAAATGGATCAACCTAAAAAATTACCTTTTGCCATGAAAATAAAGTAATTACATATTAAGCACTTCAATATGAAATTGTGTTGTTTTATTCTTATTTTCAAGTACATCTTTTTATACCATTTCATATTGTCTCACCTGGTCAAAGCAGTGTAAAGTAAATTTATTTTAAGATTTGATTTACTTCTATTTCATTTTTTTGCCATGGATGCCACATTTTCCATTAGTGTCTTGAATGCTGTGAAGCATCAATAACTCAGGAGCGCTTTTGTGAGATTTACACTGCTCAAAAAAATAAATGAAACTCTCCAATAACATTCTTTGTTCTGTACAAATCTGAATGTGCTGACAACAAAATCACACAAAAATCATTAATAGAAATTAGATATATTAACCACTGGAGGCCTTGAGTCGCACAGAATTAAAGTGGAAAAATACTACAGGCTGATCCATCTTTGATATGTCCTTAACACAGGTCAAAATGAGTCTCAGTATTGTATGTGGCTTCCACCTGATGAGGTGGTGGATGGTCACCTTAGGGATTTCCTCCCAAACCTGGACTAAAGCATCCAAAAAGTCCTGGACAGTCTGTGGTGCAACGTGACATTGGTGGATGGATCGAGACATGATTTCCCAGATGTCCTGAATCGGATTAGTCTGGGAAATTGGCGACCCAGTCCATAGCTTCAGTGCCTTCATCTTGCAGGAATACTGACTGAGTCCAGCCCTATGAGGACCCATTATGAGCATTAGGGGGAGCCCAGGGCCAACCACACCAGCATATGGTCTCATGCAGGGGTTGACGT